CGACGCTCGTCGACGCCTCAGACTTGAACTAATCAGAGAAAGGAAAAGGCGTTCCTCGTCCGCACTTCATTTCTTGTATAAAAGATGCCTGAATATATAAATTTGTTCTAAGTTTGCTTAACTTATTGAATTCATGATAAGAACATTCCGTAATATAATTGAACCATTATTCGTATTGTTCTATTTCATCATCTGTGGGCCTTAGAGAATCATACTGCTGAAATCAGTGAACCGTCTTCCGCATTCAGCTAGATGCGTTTTACCTTAAAAGTGAATGATATACATTGTACAGACCAGCATAAGCAACTGCTAACTGTCCATATTCCGTTTAATTATTAAAGTTTTCTTTCGATTATCATAATTTGATCCAACGTAGAGTTAATTAGGTTCATTCTCGAGTCAGAATCTCTGTTACTTTTAGCTGTTCTGCACTCTGCTTAATTTTTTTTGTTATGTTTGGAGAAGGTGCATTTTCAGGAGTCCCTTAAGTTATTCTGATATGACTGAGTCATTGACATTCAGGACATGAGGTTTAATGCAAAGTGTAGCATAGTATCGCGGTGATTGTTTAATGTTAGATTTTGATTACTGACTATCGTGCAAACAAGATGCAGTATATTCGATCATGTTTTAAGGCTGTTTACCATTGCCATCTGGCTGGTAAGCTGTGTTATGGTTACCGAAACCTTTTGTGCGATGCCTGTGAGAATCTAGCATCTGTGTGTTGTCTACTATTCAGTCAGAAACGGGTGGTTTACTTTTCATTTACTGTCGCAACACAATCGAAACAAATGTAAAACGAATATATTGCTGATATACGTATCTTCCTAGTCTATCCCCCCTAGATCTGACAGATACTCGTAAGGTCTCTTTTTTGGACGAAAAGTAGTATAGCTGTAGTCAGGGTGTCAGCAGCGAATAAATTGTTTGAAAGTGTACCGCTGTGGACGACAGTGTTTTACTTGGCATATTAAGGGCCTTGAATCGGAATGATATTTTCTGACTAATTAATGGATACAACGTTTGGAGCTAAGCAATCAACGGGAGGCAAGGCAGCTCGTGACCATTTTTAATCATGTGAAAAAAGTGCATCAGAGTATAGAAAATGGCAATTTTCTGTTCACCTGGCAATCAACGTCCTTAATTTTGCTAAAGCTTTTTACGATAGTATCCTGCTGAACAGCGGATGTCATCTGTCATATCGCGTCGCAATTAAAATGATTGCAAAGAGCAGTTGCATGGCATTTCGCTATTTTGATGGCATTAGTTTGGAATCTGAGCGCGTAACTTTGAGACCTCAAACAGGTGATCATCTGTCCTTGTCAAGTTGTTAGTTTTTCAAGGACTAACGCGCGTCTTGTGTACAAAATAATGAATGTGCTTCTGACGCAGTTATAAAAACGTGTCTGCAAACTTTGGGCGGCAGAGCAGGTCGAGATGAAGCGATGGCCGAAACGATTTTTTTAATACCCTAGACGGAGGACGCGAAGACAATGCCGGCATGAAGTATGCAAAAGAGTGAGGCGCAAATTTTAATGAAAATGACGAGTACAAGTTAAAACTGATGAAATTTACAACCGAGACATTCACAAATGCGAACGATTTTCACCCACGTAGTTAGCATGGTTTTGTTTTCGCACGTGAGTCTTACTCTGCGGCGCGCAAACGCAGCCGGCGCGCAATAGCTGCAGATGGTCAGTTGGTTGTGGACAATGTCCGGCAGGCCCATCGAGAAGCAGGCACCATAGCAGAAGTTGTTTTTTAACTGAACTGTTTCACAACCGGCCTGAGTAATGTTTTGAACAAATTGCTTCATCTTGCACCACGACTTCTCCTTAACGATCCGCTGCACGTCGATCGGTATAGTCATTGTGCCGTGACCATCACCGTTGTTCGCCTCATAGCTGCGGCGATTGTTCAGAGGCCACCGTCCGCTGGTGGCGACCTCACTGTTTTCAGCGTTGTCGGTACTGGGTCCTTCAGTGCTCGACGGCTTCAATCCAAATAGCCAAAACCCGCGGTCGCTGTCGCCTGCTATTACCTGGTCTGCATACATAACATTGAGAAGAATCGCAGTTGTCTAAACATCAAAAGTTCGTAAATAACGGCTATCGAATTTTTCATCTTTCTTTCAGAGATATGATTTACCGTGAAGACTCTATACACCGATTTTTGTTTTGCGAGTTACTGCCAGTGTGGTGCGATAGTCTGACGTCATATATTGTCACGTTAAACTGCTCAGAGCTGACCTGTCATAATGTCTAAACGTCTGTGCTGCATGAAAACTGTCAGATGGACAATCAGAGAGATTGAATATGACGACCGAAATTTTCACCTTCCATCGCCGCTTCTCCTTTTGGGTCGCGGAGGCAGACGCGTCAGACAGTGCTTCCAACGTTCTCGATCCCGTGCCAGAGTCTGAGCTTCGTCAAAAGACAAATACAGTCTGGAACAGATTCCTTCCATATGTTTGCAC